CGGAAACATCAAAGGTGTGTGATCTGCATTTTTATGACCAGGACTTACAAAAGTGTTATGTGCACACTATCAATGGAGAAACAATCAAGGTGCCACGGGGCAAGTGGACGCTAGTAGAGGGTGCACTGCCGAAAGTTTTCCCGAAGCTTCCCTCGTACCTGTCGAAGCCGCCGGACAAAAAACGGAATAGAAGGGAGCGTAGTAGAGGCCAAACAGTTAGCCCTTCTGTTTCGCCTTCTGATGGAGTTCAGGGTGAAGATGCCCAAGAAACTCAGACCGCTTGGAGCGCAGATATTGAGGAAGTTACTTTGAGTGACCTGGAAAGCGTTCAGCTGCCGTCTTTGTGGCGAATGCTTACTCTAGAGGACAGCGATGGAAAGTATATGGTGCGTTTCACGCTTACAGCCCAACGAAGGCTCCCCCAAATTGAAAAATGTGTTGTGGTGGGGACTGACAACATAGCCACCGCAAGTGCTCTTGATGATGATATATGTTGTTTAATGGCGCAAGGGCCATTGATGGCCAAAGAGCGCCAGGAAATGATATCGGTTGAGAGCAATGGTTATGATAAATGGCTGTAAAAGGGCCTAAAGTTCTGCGCTCTAAAGATGCGTAAGACATATGTTTATTAAAATCATGAAAGTGAAGTGAAGCATGCCTGGTGAGAATGGGTCTTTAGTTGTCATGACATCATAAAATAGGAACGTTATATTAGCACCAATTTCTCACCAGCGCCCTTGGTCCCAAGGGCCGGGAGACAGGTGCTCTTTTGGATGTAGCATCCGCAGCAGCAGCCTCCTTTCGGAGGCCGTGCTACCGATCACTTGAGTAGATAACATGGAAAGTATTTACTTCCTTTAAGAATGCATTCAATGCATTACTTAAAAAGAGGTTCGCGACCAATAAACATAGCTGGGTGAAGGGGTATGTGTTCCTTGTACGCTAGTGTAAAGTGTTTTTTCCTGTAAGCCTCTAGCTCAGAGCATTCAAGGAGTATGTGAAGTACGGTAAGTGGACGGCCACATCTGTGACAGCTGGGTGGGTCACCACCAGACAAAAGGTGTGTGTGCATGCTGTGTGTGTGTCCTATTTTAAGCCGACAGAGACTGACCTTTGTGCGGCGTGTTTTCGACGTGGGTGGCCAGTTACCGAGGTATGGTTTAATCAAGTGTAACTTGTTATGAGTTAGTTGATCCCATAACTTCTGCCAGTAAGCCCTGAGCTTTTTTTCGTATGTTTGGTTTTATGTCCATTATAGGGACAGCAACTCAAGAGTTGGCGGAGCTTCCGTTAATTGACGTGGCTAGCTGGTCGGCCAACACATTTCCTTCGATCTCGCGATGTCCTGGCACCCAGCACACGACGATATGTTGCTTGGAAGTATAGGCCGCACAGAGTACCGAATAGAGGGATTTAATTATAGGGTTTTTGTGTTTTTAAGATTTTTCAACGCTTTTACGACACTCAGGGAGTCGGTGTATATAACTACCCTTGGCGTATTCAATTCTTTGAAGTGTTTAACGGCTACGAATTACGCGTAAGCCTCGGCTGTAAAAATGCTTGTGTTGGTGGACAGAACGCCGGAATCCGAGAAGGATGGGCCAACCGCCGCATAAGACACGCCAGTATGGGATTTGGATGCATCAGTATAATATTCTGGACAGTCATATCTATGTTGCAGCTCTAAGAAATACTTCCGAATGTGTATGGGGGAGGCATGCTTTGTGACAGCTACGAAAGATGTGTCACAGTCTATAACCTGCCACTGCCATGGCGGGGGCCGCAGAGGGGGGGGGCTGAGGTGGTATTCAAGCAGTGGGACATTTGTTTCTTCAGCTAGATCTCTGACACGCAGCGAGAAAGGGCGTGGCCATTGCGGGTCGATTGTAAAAAAGGTTGAGAGCTGGACAGGTCGTTGATGGTGGAATATGCAGGTTGCTCACTGTTCGCATTTACTTTAAGGAAATATATGAAGGAAGAATATGTTCTCTGCAGATGGAGTGACCACTCGTCCGACTCTACATAAAGGCTTTCAACTGGGCTTGTTTTAAAGGCTCCTGTGGACAGGCGGATGCCTTGATGATGAACAGGATCCAACATTTTCAGAGCGCTTGGCGTGGCAGAGTGATAGACTATTGCCCAATATTCAAGACGTGAGCATATAAGGCTTCTATACAGATTCATGAGGCACTTTCTGTCGCTGCCCCACGTTGTTCGTGACAGCACCTTTAGGATATTCATTGTTTTCAAGCATTTATTTTTAAGATGTTTTATGTGCGGTACAAAGTTAACTTCGCATCTAAAATTATACCTAGGAACTTATGTTCTGTGTTTACGCGTAGACGCTCACCCTTAAGGACCAGTTCAGGATCAGGGAGCAAGCCTCTTTTTCGTGAAAAAAGGACACAGGTGCTTTTCTCTGGGTTCAGTTTGAACCCGTTTTCATCAGCCCATTTGATATCTTGTTAAGGGCGAGCTGAACCTGTCGCTCACAGATCCCAAGAGAACACGATTGAAAACCTATCTGCACATCGTCGACATATGTTGAATAAAAGATATTCGTGGGATGTACAGACGGAGAGAATTCATATTTATAATAAAGAGCGTACAGCTGAGCACCCCACCCTGTGGCACTTCGGTTTCCTGTACAAATGTTCGGGACAGAACATTGCTCACTCTAACGCGGAAGGTACGATCAGACAGATAGCTTTCAATGACACTGAACATATTACCGTGTATACATATGTGTGAGAGGTCTCTCAATATTCCAAACCTCCACGTAGTATCGTACGCCTTCTCCATGTCGAGAAACACAGATAAGAAAAACTGATTATGAACAAAATCCTCACGTATGCGTGCCTCGATACGTATAAGATGGTCGGTGGTAGATCGGCCCTCTCTAAATCCGCATTGGTATGGGTCGAGCAATTTGTTTGTTTCTAAGTAGTGGAGTAAGCGGCAATTGATCATTTTTTCAAATAGTTTGCAGAGGCAGCTTGTTAACGCTATAGGTCTGTACCTTGATACAGTAGAGGGATCTTTTCCCTGCTTCAAAATTGGAATTATAACAGCCTCCTTCCAGGAGGAGGGGATCACACCTGAAAACCATATGCGATTATAAAGACAGAGGAGGGTTTCTTTAGTTTCGGAGGGTAGTTCTTTCAGCATCGCGTACATTACATTGCCAGAACCTGGGGTAGATGTATTACAGCAGCTGAGTGCTGTTCGCAGTTCTGCTAAGCAGAATGGTTGATTATATGCCTCATTTCTTGTGGATTTTCTTTCTAACTTTTCTTTTTCTATTCGTGCCTTGAAATTCTGAAAGGATTCGGAGTAGTGTGAGGAGCTCGATATCTGTTCGAAATGTGTGCCGAGAAAGTTGGCTTGATCCTCCAAGCTTTCCCCGAGGCTATTTACTAGTGGAAGGCAATACGTTTGTTGGCTCTTTATTTTCTTTACTTTATTCCACATTTTTCCCTCATCTGTGTACGAGTTGATACTCGATATAAACTTTGTCCAGCTCTCTCGTCTAGCTTGTCGACGCGTTCTCCTTGCCTGCGATTTGACCCGCTTGAAATTTTCCAGGTTTTCTGCTGTAGGGGAATCGCGAAGCAACGCCCAAGCTTTGTTCTGAGTGGTCCGTGCTTTCCTGCATGCGTCGTTCCACCATGGGACTCGCCGTTTAGAAGACATGCCGCTCGTTTTGGCAATACATTTAGAGGCGGCATCAAGTATAAAAGCTGTAAAATACGTAACAGCGTCATCTATGGTCAGGGCAGACAGCTCAGTCCATGTCATGTGAGTAAGAGTTCTATACCCTTCCCAATCAGCTGAGTCAATCTTTCATCGAGGAACCTGCGGTGGTAGTTGATCTTTGTTCGGCGCACTCAGGATGATTAGGAAGTGGTCACTACCATAAGGGTTTTTAAGAAATTTCCACTAAAAAAAACAGGTAACAGGGACGGTGATGAAATGCTAAGATCCATGGAGGAGTACGTGTTGTTTGCAAGGCTAAAATATGTACGCTCCTTTATATTTAAAAGACAGAAACTAGAAGAGAAAAGGAGCTGCTCAATGAGACGTCCTCGCGCATCATAGTGAGCATCGCCCCACAGGACATTGCGTGCATTAAAATCACCTAGAACCAGAAACGGCTCTGGGAGTTCATATAATAATGATTCTAGATCACGTCTGTGTAGCTGTTAATGCGGTGGTATGTACACAGAACATATGGTAATGAGTTCGTTAAAAAGTACAGCTCGAATGACCACTGCCTCAAGGGTTGTTTGGAACTTCAAATGCTGGCATGCTATACTACGATCAGCTATAATGGCTACACCGCCAGATGGTACGACAGCATCCTCTCGGTCTTTTCGGAAAATAATATATTGTCGTAGGAAGTCCTTGTGCTTAGGAGTTAAGTGCATTTCTTGCATACATAGCACTTTCGCGTTAAACTTACTCAGAAGTTCTTGGACGTCATCTAAATTTCTAATTATACCCCTTACGTTCCACTGTATGATTTTGTCCATAGTGGAAAAAAAAGGGAAGAAGTGCTGTGTGCAGAAAAGACGGAGATTAGCTGATTTTACAGGGCCTTTGTCAGGCCCTGTAATCGGCGTTCTGTCTTTTTTGGGGCGGTCGAGAGAAGCTCGCCGCTCCTTCGGCGCTTCCTGCGCCGTTTGGCTTGAACTGGTGTCCATAGCCTCTTGCGAGGCACTGGACGCCCGCTCTACAGAGCTATCTGTGCGTCGCTTAGACTTCGCCTCGATCGACGAAGTCTTTGTCCCCACCGAGCTGGGGGTCGATAAAGCCCCCTTGGCCTCGTGATTGCCCTGGCTGCTGTTAGAGCTTGTCGAGGTCACTGGTTTGGACAGGCTGGATGTGGGCAGGGCAGCGCTAGCTGCTCCCGCCATAGGGGCTTGTGGCAGCGGCCTCAGCCAACACCAACTGGAAAGGGAGAAGGCCTCAGTCAACACCAACTGGAAAGGGAGAAGGCCTCAGTTCTCCTTCTTTTCCAGTCGCACCACGTCAGCTAATGGGGCGGCTGCAAGAGGCGGCTTGACCAGTTCGGCCGGTCCCAGCACGTCGCAGCAACGCACGTGCGGCTTCAGAATGTTGAAGGTGCGACGGTGAGATGCCGTGCAAATGCTGTGTGCCACGATGCAGTGGCAACTACACCGTGGACACGAAAGTGCACGTTTTCAAGTTCCCAAGGGATCAAACTGTGAGGAACGCGTGGATACGCGCTGTGCCACGGGAAGACCTCTCCGTAAGCTTTCTTTCTCGTAGAGCATTGTTGTTTCATTGCAAATGTAAATTCAATATTTGCATATGCTCAAATAAGTGGTTCACAAGCCCCACTTTGTCAAATACTGATTGGTTTGCTAATTGTATGTAAATTTCCTTGGTAGGTATGCGAACTTCACTTCAGAGAGGAGGACATCATCCGAGAAGCCTCGCATACCGATGTAACTACTGGCCGCACAAAACAGTGTCATTATCCCATGTTCGCCTCCGCCCGGACGCTGTACCGTCCAAGTTCCCGAGCTTCCCGAGAATTCAAAGTTCCCGAGAATTCAAAGAAGTTGCGCACATCGTGCCCGTGCACCGACTAGACGCGGAGTTCCTGCACAAGATGCTGAAAAATGTGATTTGCGGGCTGGAAAAGATTGGGTACCGCGTTGTGTGTGTCGTGAGTGACAACAACTCTGTGAACAGGAAAGCGATGTCTCACTTCGAATCGACCCCTTCCAACAGAATTGTGTATGAACACCCGTCGGACCCTGCGAGGCCGCTGTTCTTCGTTATAGACCCGGTATACATGCTAAAATGCATACGAAACAACTGGATCAACCAGAAGAATGACCAAGTATGCTTCTACTTCCCTGAGATGCAAACAGACGCAGCACAATCAGAGGGCATGCAAACAGCGTCATTTTCGACAATCAGGGATCTGCACAGCAAAGAGTGTGACCAGCTGTTGAAATATGGCTACTGGGCTGTCGAGAAAAGCCCTTTACCAGTCGAATATTGAAAGGCAAAACGTAAAGCTTGACTTTTTGCTCTTTGCTTTTGAAATGGCTGGATGAGTGGAAAAACAAAGGCTGCATTTGCTGGCCAACGAAGAGCCATCTGACTTCGACACCTGTGAGAACGGTCACACAAGCGAATCAGTGCTGAAACACATCCTGCGGTGCAGCACTAACATTTTACTGAAAAAACGTTAGTGGAAAGCTCAACGACAAACTTCTTGACGCTGCTGACAAGGCAAAAAAAAAACGGAAAGCCACAACTCTCCAGAACAAATAGGTGAACAGCTTCTGATAAAGCGCAAACCCAAAACGAAACTAGTTTGTGTAAATAAATGTTTCGCTCCTATAATTTGCTTCGAGTGAAATTTATTTGAAACTACGTGCATGCTCGTTCTTGCAAGAAAGAAAAAGCGCCCGCTTGGTAATTCTATGCGACAACCTCTCTTGAACAGTGCTCCGTACTTTTACCAGTCCGCCCATTCGCCTGACGTCACTAGAAGAAAGCTAATGCCTTGCCTTTTAGAGGGTGTTGCCTCGGCACGCTAAGCGAGGTCCGGGCAAATGCCAAGGGCATTTGTGGTGTCGCCCCTTGTTGCACCACTTCGGCGAAAGGTGTTTTTAGCGCCAATGTAAGTGAGACCCGTTGTCTTGCTTCCCTGATTGTGATATTTTGCTTTACATTTATAGTTATTATTTCTTTTTCTTTTTTCCAGGCTGGGCACGCTCTGGAGTATGCTGGGTGACTACCTTCGCAGTTAGCACAGAGGACCTCAGTCATGACTACATTCATCAGAACTGTGGCCGGTTGTGCCACACTTAGCACACATCAGCTGCCCTCGGCAGCTCTGGGATGCATGACCAAATCGCTGGTATTTGAAACAACGCCTCGGGTTCGGAATGAAGGGTCGGACATGGAGTTTTATATAGCCAGTTTCAAGAGTCTCAGGTAAAGTGGTTCAGTTGAAGGTGAGTATTAAGTGCTTTGTTGCTATTTCGTTGTTGTTGCGTCTGATTATGATGCGCTGGACATGTATCACACCTTGGTCCTTCCATCCATCAAGAAGCTCTTCTTCACTCAGTGTCATCAAATCTTCGTCCGATACCACGCCCTTCACTGTATTCATTGTACAATGTGCACTCACAGAGACGGGGATGTTACCAAAGGCTGCGAGGTGCGACAGTTTATTGTACTGTTCCTTGTCTTTTAATTCGAGAAGCAGATCTCCACTTGCCATCTTCGTGGCCTTATAACCGGTTCCAATGGTCTCTCTCAAGCACTTGGCCACAAGGAAGGGTGAGATTGCTCTAGCTTTTGTAGATGATTGTTCGCAGTGGAGGACATGGTATTTTGGGAAAGTTTCTCTGTTTTTCGACCAAAGTAGTGAAGTTGTGTCGGTGCGTACCCTTTTCGAGGCATGATCAGTTAGAGAGGGGGTCGAGGATTCCATGGGAAAATGTGTATTTTTCGGTAACGGCGCCTACCACCCACCACGGAGTCCAACAAGGGGACGTGGCAGAGCATGTGGGCATGTCTGCGCAATGCCAGCAGTACGCAGTTACTATAGCCCAATATGGTTTACCCTAGTTTGGATAGCTACACAAGGTTAACCCTTGCCGCCAGGAAAAACAGAAGTAAACTGAATAGAGGAGAGATCAGGAAAGAATGAAAGTAAGAGGGAAAGACGAAGATGAAGAGAGGCAGAGACAGGAAAAGGCGACTGCCGGTTTCCCCTGGGTGGGTCAGCCCAGGGGTGCCGTCTAGGTGAAGCCGGGGCCAAAGGGGTGTGTTGTCTCTGCCGGGGGGGGGGGGGGGGGGGGGGGGGCCTTAAAGGTCCAATCACCCAGCGTCGGCTCAACCCCCAGAATCCCTTTTCCCCAGACACGGCAAAGCCACGCACGGCTAGGCGTGGGAGGGAGTAGAAACTCCCCCGTTAGCTCGGGTCCGTGGTGTCGCTACACACCAAACGCCTACTTGCGCAGGCACCCCTGCGGGGCTGCAAGTGCTCTTGGCCGCGTGGTGACAGCGTTGAAGAACGTTAGCATCCGCACATTAGGTGACCTAGCCAATCTCGTAGACCGAGTTGACAAGCTCAATGTCTGTCACGGGGTGGAAAGAGTGAAAGCTGTGAGCTATACACGCAAGTGCAAGGTGCTCTCTTCTAAAGCGAGGTGCAAGCCGTGCCACAAAAGAATGAAAGAGCAGCAAGTTCAAATGCTCCAGAAGCAAAAAAGAGCGTCGCAAAGACAGAAGAAGGTAAAAAACCTTCACAAGAAAGCAATAAGAGCAGCATCTGCAAGAGTTTCTTTCATGGCTGAAGTGGCTGACCTAAGAAAGCAGCTGCAAAGCTAAAAATCTGTGGCCATCAAAGAGGCACTGAGCTCACTGCCACCCATCCAAAGGCTTGCATTTCAGGACTTGCATTTCTTTTTATTTATTTTTTTCCCCTTGGCAGTAAGTGTTCCTGCTCCGCTGCAGCCTGCCATCTATTTTAGGGCCAGTCAAGTTGCGTACCCACAACCTTTTCCCCTGAATATCTCCTGTAGAATAGCGCTTGTTTTTTTTTCTTTTTTTGAATAAAGTTATTACATTTCAAAACGTGAGTTGTTGATTCTTAGCGGTAGGGCTGTTCGTTTTCTGAATCGTAAAGCTAGTTGGCAATTGACCCAAATAAGATTAAATCAAAGGTGTTTTCACTAGCTAGTTGACAACTGACCCCAATCACATTAAGTCGCATTGTAACATACAGAGAACAAAAAACTCGCGAACCTTTCCATTCACGTAAAGGTGGATGACCACGAAAGCTTTTTAACACACGACATGGGATTGATACGGAGTATAGGAGAAAACGTAAGAACAATATTTCGTCGTGATCGTGGATGGCGATAATTTCTAATATAGAAATGCGTGTGCGCACGCGCACACACTTTTATTTCCAACAACTTTGAAAATAGTGGTTACTAACTGTAATCACCTCAAAGTGCACATCCAAGGGTCAGAAGGTTTAAAAGTCTGAGTCACCTTGTAATAGTGACGGTGGTGCATACTCTGTTGATTAGCCGTATACGCTCGGGTTCTAAATCACGCTTTAAAGGCGTGCGGCTTTGGTGGTGACCGCGTGTTATTAGCAAACACATCGGACGTTCCTTTTCCAACGCATCACGCGCTTCAGAGACAGTGGGAGCCCTCGTCCCCGGACAGTTAAGTACATGGAACCGTAGCCATATAATCTCCGCTTTAAAAATTGGGACGGAGATATTTTCCCATTACTTCTCTGGAGTGAATTAGCCATCATTTGATAGTGGTGGAAACAGGCGAACGGCCGCACATCTTTCACAGGCACGCGATACCAGCTTGTAAAGAATGAAGTGTGAATTGGCCACAGTGTAAAACCTTTTCGGGCGCCTCTGGCACTTTCATAAACTTTATGCGGGCATCATCGAATTGCCTTTAAAAGTACCCGTAGTATCTAACTGCTACATTCCTGAAACAGCGGCGGAGACCCAGCTTTTGAAGTGAAATACGCGAGGAAATGTACCAAGCCGCTGTGGGTAAATACCGGTTTCGCCTGGTATCACAAATTCTTTAACGCAGAACGCCAGAAGACGTGAAAATACGCGTGAAACAGCCACAAACACTCCGTCTGCGAGAGATTTAGGCCGCAGCTGGCTGTGGTAGAGCGTCTGCTGCGGAGCAAGATAGAGCGGTGCCGCCATCTGGCGGCGGGCAGAGAAGTGGAGACACCGGCAGCAGGGACGCCGGCAGAGAGTTTTACAACTGAAGCTATTCTAGTAACGTTGGCTGGAGCAGACTGATACTCGCTCAACAACCCCCACAAGGGCGCTCAAGCGTGGCGCATATTCAAGGCACTCCTTCAATCCAAAATGCCTCGCTCCCCTGCTCTCTGCGTTGCGGTCGCCATGCGGATAACCACCCAAGAGCGGGCCGAACGTCTAGCGGATAGATTCACTCCTCCTGCACGCGCCGAACCGCTCCCCGGCCTTCCTCCGCCACCTGTTAGCATTCCCGCACTCACAGCACGGGAGCGGCTCCTTCCCCCTCACGGCGGACCCCACGAAATTTACGCACTCTGCACGGAATGCTTCACCCTTTCCGAGCTCACCCTTGTCTTGAAAAGACGCACGAAACGATCGGCACCCGGAGCAGATGGCATTAGTTACCAAATGCTTCGAAACATTGACGCTTCAATCCTACCACGCCTCCTAGAAGCCTACAATCAGATTTGGCGCACCGGCGTTCTTCCCCCTGTTTAAAAAGAGGCCCTCATCGTGCCCATTTTGAAACAACGCAAGCCAGCCGCTCAACTCTCATCCTATGGGCCGATTTCCCTCGCCTCGCTTGCCGGAAAGGCCATGGCTTTACGCTGCCTTCAATGGATAGCAAACACCACCCATGCTTTTCGTCCCCAAAAGAGCGGCTTTCGCCCGGGCACTCCACATCAGACTCCCTTGCCAACGTCGCTTCCACTCTCGAGGAGGCCAAGTTCCGCGGCAATTTCGCGTGCCTCGTCCTCCTCGATGTTCAGAGCGCCTTTGACTCCTTGCCCCACGAACCAATATTGGACGCCCTACGTGACCTTGGTGTGTGCAGGCTAATGCTTGCCTATGTAAAGAGCTTCCTTGGCGACCGCACCCATCGCGTGCGAGTGGGAAGAGCAGTCAGTGAGCCCTGCCCCGTTCCTTCCGCTGTTCCCAGGGCAGTGTACTCAGCCATTTTCTTTTTAACCTCATCCTCGCGAGGCTTCCCGATTTCATCCCTGGTGACACCCCCTCTGAATTTCGTGTGGCCATATACGCAGACGACATTGCTCTCTTTGAATCTGGTCCCACCCACTGGCGCGCCCGCATCCTTTCTTCAGTACAGTCTGTCATCAACGCCGTGGACGCCTTCGTTACCGGCATCAGACTAACTCTCGCTGCCCCCAAGACGAAAGCCCTAATGTTTCACCCGGTTGCCTCTACACGCTTTGTCACCTCTCAGCTCACTTTACACGGCATCTCCATCCCTTGGAGTAAGACGGTGCGCTACCTCGTGGTCACTTTTGACACTCGACTGAGCTACTGCTCCGCTGTCAACATAATACGCCACAACAGCCGAAAAGTTCTAATCGCCGCTCGACGCCTTCTCGCCCGAGGACGGGGCTGCACCCCCACCCTTGCAATGCGCATCTACAATGTTGTCGCATCTGCTAGAGCCCTCTACTCTGCATCCGTACTTTCGCTCAACCCCATCCAGTAGAACTTACTGGACACCGACCACCGGAACACGATACGAGAGTATTAAGCCCAAACTCCATAAGCGCGAAAATGCACGCGACAACGACGAGCGACGCTATGAGCGACGAAACAGGGCGGTCGCGCGACGTGTCGCGTACTCATTTTCGCGCGATCGCTCGGTTCTCCAGATTTGGAAACCGTCGCTCATCGCCCGGAAGTGCTGGGCTCAAGCAGCCAATAGAAAAAAACCGGAAAAGGATATACATCAGTGACGCACTGCCGGTTGTTTTCACGTGCTTTTCAGCGTTCTCTCACAACTACCACAACAACATGGCCAACGGCGATGAGTGCAACGCGTACAATGAGCGCCTCATTGAAGTGCTCGAACGGGAACGTCCGCTATGGGATCTATGCGACCGAAATTACAAGTCCCGTGCCGTCACTGACGCGGCTTGGCGGTACGTTGCAACAGTGATGGGATCCACTGGTAAGTTGTGTTGTGCAATCTGCGTACAAGCGACGTTAGCGCCAAAACTGCTGCATGGCCGTTGTGTGCTGGCATGGTGTACAACTTTCCTTGATTTATGTGCAGTTGCTGAAGTGAAGGCGAGGTGGAAGAACCTTCGAGACACCTTTAGGCGTGTCCTTGAGGAGCGGACACGCGCACTGAAGAGCGGGGCGCCTGCCAACGATGAATTAGACGAGTCTACTAAATGGCATTTTTTTAGTAGGCTCCTGTTTCTTAAGGAGACAATGAAAGGGAGGCCGTAAGTAATCGACTTTTTTACGCCAAACGCTCATTCAGATTAGTTTACTCTAAACAAAGGCGTGAATGAAGATAAATACAATATTTAGAGAAGTCGCAGCTCAAAAGCTGGTGTTGCATGTTGAAAATTGTGCTGAGAGGCATACTATGTATTACCTTATAGGACAAGTGGGAACGTGGGACCCCTGCCTTTCAAGGAGAGTGCACCTGATGTTCTGGCACCAGAGTGCATTCTTGAAGACGTGTGTGATGAGCTTCCTGGAAATCAGGGGACGGCCACCAGTTCGGGTTTACCACCACCGCCAAAAAAAAAAAAACCGAAGCGTTCCAAATACGATGACGAAATTGAAGAACTCTCAAAATTTATCACAGAAAAGCCCGATGAACATGAACGCTTCGGTGAATTTCTGGTTGAAAAGATGAGACGTGTACCTCCACACTTCGTGGATGTAATGCAATTACAGCTACTGGAGACAGTCACCCAGTTTCTGAACCCAGTAACTGTAGTACAGCCAGTTGATTAGGTTTTGTTGCTCACTTATTTTGTAACGGTAGCATTTTTCTCAATTGAGGTGCACGAAAAAAATTGGAGCACAAAAGGAAGACACCTAGACAGTGTACAGACAGTGTGCTGTGTCTATTGCTTGATTGATTTGTGATGTTTCACGTCCCAAAATCACCATATGATTATGAGAGACGCCGTAGTGGAGGGCTCTGGAAATTTCGACCACCTGGGGTTCTTTAACGTGCACCCAAATCTGAGCACACGGGCCTACAACATTCCCGCCTCCATAGTGTGCTGTGTCTGGGTATCTTCCTTTTGTGCTGCAATTCCTTTCGTGCACCTCAGTCAAGAATTTTACCAACTCGCCCAGCAATTCATGCTTGTCAAGTAAATAGTAGCATTTGGGGTTTAAAATCCCAAAACCACGATATGATTATAGGACGCTGTAGCGGAGGGCTCTGAAAATTTCAACCGCCTGGTGTTCTTTCAAGTACACAAACATTGCACAGTATGCAAACCATCTTGAGAATGCAACTACACAGGACGCGAGAAGGAACGGATGAAAACACTCTCACGATGGTTTGTACGTCAAGTGTTCTCATCTGTTCCTTCTCACGTGTCTTGTACTTCAAGACATCAACTTGCTCAACAGTCAACTGTTGCAATGCTCATATATTGTGCCGTATGCTACCTCACCTATATTCCGTAGTTTCATGGTCGGTCGGTTGTCATTAAGAGGACAAATTCATTTTTTCCCATTCTGTGATAACATCGGTGACGTGGTAACATGTTGGCGCAATGTTCCATACTCTGTGTATTAATGCACCACGACAGGTTCTACTGCTGCGCAATGTGTAACATATCACCAGTCATTGTATGAGTTTTTGTGGTCATATTGTCAGCACTGTGATATTGGAGATACTAGTGGCATGCATAATATGTGCACCTTAACACATTTGCAAATTGATTTTGTTTGTTCAAGACATTCAACAAGTAGCTGAATTTTTTTCCATGCTGGTATGAGTCACTAATGTGTTCATTTGAAGAAACTTTTATGGGTGTGGTATAACGTACGAGTTTAGACGTGTATACACATTTCTTACATGAGTTGTAAACTGAGCAATGTGTTTGTTGTATATGTGTGAATATATTTGTATTTTACACTGCCAGAGTGCGAGTTGTACATTGTGATAATAATTATTAGTCAATTTATATCCCTATTTTATTCCTATGCGCTGCTGTGCCATGTTGACCATACCACATTCACTAGTCTTTTTATTTTATTTCTATGTGCTGCTGTGCATTGTTAACCATACCGTATTTCCTTGTCACTGTTTTTCAAGGAAAAGTGCAATAAAATTTTGCCCTGAAACTGTGTACTTTAAACCTACCTCAAAAAGCTTGCACGAGCTATGTGTGCCTACAGCTTGTCCCACTGTCACCACAGTCCAGTGCAAAACACTAAATATATTTAAGAGGGGTTCTGAAGAAGGAGCTCATCACTGCAGAGCCTCTCTGCCAAAGCATCAAGAAGGGTAGCCCTAAAAAGGGCTGTTTGTGTTGAATTTCTTGGCGGTCGGTGCACAGGCATGAGTTGTTAATTCAAGGGTTATGCGGGGCAACTCCGGGCAGCTTCCATTGCCAAGGCACTTGGCCTTCTTCACTGAAATACTTCACGAACTCTTGCCAAACTGCGCTGGCCACTTTAGAGCAGTTAGGGCCTTTGGCTTTTCGAGTCCAAACACTGTTGTGCTTCCTGGTACTTGTCTTCAAGCACCACCGCTCACATTTCCAAAGGTGTCTTGAAAATCCGCGTAGCCAGGAGGGCAGTACGTTGAAGCAGGGTTTGATGATAAGAAGTTGTGCAGCACGCATGTTGCTTTCACAACGGCCTCCACATTCTCCGGCTCCAAGTTTATTTGCCTCTCGTAGATCCGCCAGCGAGAGACAAGAATGCCGAAGGCGTTTTCCACATAGCGCCTGTAAAAAAAAAAAAAAAACACTTTTCTGTTGTAGCGTACCCTAGAGCAGGAAACTTACAGTAATTGCAAGCAGTACACATCTACCATAACCTGCCTATTCAAGGTGCAATGATACGTTATTAAAAATGATTAGCACATTTCTTTATATCGGAAAGTTCTTGCTTTGTTAAAGTACTAATCCCTGATAAATAGGAAATCATAGCTTCAGACAAGCATGCGCTGAGGGTGGTGCTCTTCAGTACTTGCACTTCATATACTTAAGCAGAACTATGGCTAGATTTCAGATTGATGCTGAACTGATTACAAAGAGTCTTCCTGGCTGCAGCAACCTTTGCACGAGGAAATGGCATATGAAACCACCTAAAATGCATTTGTTTGCCACATGTTAGTTGATCGACCCTGAAGGCGTGAGAGTAAGAAGAAAGGACACAATTGAGCTTAGAGGACAGGACAGAGTTCTTTAGCGTTGGGTACAGACCTTGCACGACTAAGGCGGTAGTTGTAGATCACCTCCGCAGGTACACTCCGGCTCCCTGGTAGTGGCCTCATGAAGTCTGGGCGCAACTGGAAGGCCTCATCGCCAACAAACACATGAGGACAAACTATTCCTGACCTTGGGAGCATGGCTGCTCGAGGTAGGCTGAGCTTGCCCTCATGCAGTCGCTCGCCGATGGGAGAATCTTGAAAAATTCCCCCATCGCTGAACCTTCCAGGTGCACCCACATTCACCAACCTGAACAGGTATTGGCTATCGACGACAGCCATCAATACAATGGAATGGGTTCCCTGAAAGCAATGAAACAACTGTCACAAAAGTACTTGCCATCATAACTACTTATATTGCATAACACTTAGCTGCATTACTGATGGGTACACAAAAATAAGGTGAAACCTTTGGTCTGTAAACTGCCTAGCATGCATTAGGCACCAAATCGCAATAATCTTGTACTGAGGTCTGGGATACTCCTATTGATGAAGGAGATGACCCTTTAGCAGCAAACATTCCACATGCATTGATGCAATTTTCTGCTGCATACCTTGTAATTGAAGTACAAACTTCCACCATTGCGGGGGCATTTAATTTGAATGTGCTTGCCGTCGACCGCTCCAATGCAATTTGGGAACTGCCAACGGTTGCAGAACCCAGCAGCGATTTCCAGCCACTCTTCTTCTGTTGGTGTCTGAAAAAGCAGCAATTTCAAGTTATACATTATGTTGTTACAAACATAACCAGGTGAATGCACTCCTGCCTTTTAAACATTATGGGCCCACCCTTTCCTGTGCATGAGATAAGGTATTAAATCACTTAGTGGCACAAACTCTGTACCATGATATGTGCTTTAATTCACTCAACCATATCAAAGTTATGTCATTACACTTTGAATGAGACATAGCACACAGATGCATACAGATGCTCGACGCTGTATGCATACCTTCATGTATTCAGGAGCCAAGACTTCCCACAGCACGGTGCAGGTTTTGTGAATGATCTTCTGCGCCGTCTCGATGCCCACACGGAATGCCATGGCTGCGTCCCTCACCAGCATACCCGACGACAGGTACCTGTAATACAAATAAATGTAAATGCGGGGAAGTGTGTCACGACAACCCAGGCACGCGCTGCACAATACTTTCAAGTATAACAAGCGCACATCACCAACATTCACTTCCTGGAAAATGAAAAGCTGTGCAGGCACGTATACACAGTCAATGTGGTCCTACCTCAAGGTCAGCGCGAGGCGCTCCCCAGAAGAAATGGGTTCCCTCGAGGGGCATTGGTCCTTCGTGAGCTTCTCCTTGACCAGGCTGTGCAGCACGTCAAAAGTAGCCGGCGACATCCGATAAAACGTGTAGAACAGTGACTCGTCACCGTTCTTCATTTTTTCCATCTGCAAAATACAGCAAACATGCATTCAATTCCACAATTATGACGCGGTTGTCTCGAAGCACTTACCGCTGTGAAAAACTCCCTTTCACCCGCTCGATTTGCCCATGTCGGCCGGACCCAGTACTTTTTCATAAAAGCTCGCCGTCTCTTAAGGATGAGGAGCAGCTTCAGAGCAGCTATCTTCCTTTGCCTTTCCATTTCAAGACGTCAGAAACGAATGAAATTGACAGACGCAAGCAAAACAACGCAGACAAAGACTACACAGGTAGTTTGCTTTGCCGATGCGCCAAGAATCCACTGCACGTGACCCTGCCCAAGTCACGTGGGCGCAACAAAAAATAACGCAATGTTTATTACGCATGTGCATATAGAAAAGTGCTGCAAGGCAGTAATAAACACTTTCCGTTCCATTACACAACAATATATCTTATTTTTAAATTGGAAACCGCTCGCTACGCGGCTTTCTTGGTGCAAGTTGACGGCCTCATGCCAGCAACAGTGGAATTCGCTTGCCGAAGCCGTCGCGTGAATGAGGTTTGACTGCGTTAGCGACTGATCGCGCGACGCCGATCTACGTCGCGTCGTTCGTCGCTGTCGCGTGCATTTTTGCGCTTATGGAGTTTGGCCCTTAAAGACAGTTCGTTCTGCTGCCATCGTATGTGACTATCGCGCGGCCCTTGACTCCATCTCCAGCGAACACGAGGGCACTCTACTAGCTCAGCGACTCACCCGAATGCTCCATGCGGTCCAGCAGATTGGTTGTGAACTCTCCCTACATTGGGTTCCCTCTCATGTGGGCATACCTGGCAATGAGGACGCCGACCGAGCTGGCGTATACCTGTGCCCAACAAAAGTTGGGCAACCGTAGCTCATTGTTATGCTAGTAAGCTCGCGGGACAAAGCGCGGACTCGTCGGTCAGCAATTTTTTATGTATTTGACGAATATAGATTTTTGTGTACCTTTGTCTAACCCATTGTGCAGTCGTATCGTGCGGGCTTTGCAATGCACCGTTACCTCTAAGCGGGCCTTGCTACTTGTACATATACGTTTTAATTCGAACGCAACCACGCAATTTCAACATCATTCTCTTTATGGTTTAAAATGTCATTTTTGGGCATGATGTCACAGTTAGCTATCAGTGCTAAGTTGTGTGCAAGGTATACACAAACCTAGATAAGCATAATTACATGCTCCACAGCTGCAAAGTGAATTTATGAAGTGCATGTCGAAGCTAAGCCGCCTTCCAAACCAAATAATTTTGTCTTATGACAATCAAGGCAGTTGAAGTGAAGGCACATCAGTGCTAAGTTGCGTGCAAGGTAAACACTAATCACATAGGCATAATTACATGATCCAAAGTTGCAAAGTGATTTATGAAGTGCATGTCGAAGCTAAGCCGCCTTCCAAACCAAATAATTTTCTCATATGACAATCAAGGCAGTTAAAAAGAATGCACGTAAGCCACACATTGGAAACAACTTTACTCTCTCTTCTTGTTATTCTCTTCCTTCTCTATATATACTGGATTGATTAAAAATTCTGTAAGGAATGAATACACGAAAGAAAACATGTCTAAAAAAGAGGATTCCTTTGTAGCAAGATTATCCAGATACCATATTGAAACAGGCTATAGGGCAACAAGTTCAGTGCCATGTAATAATACTTTATTGTGTGAATATTCATGGTGTGCTAAGCTCCTTGCATTGTGGATATGAGCATGCATCATCGCAAATAAAGCACAGGTGTCTGACAGAGAAGAAAGGATTTAGTGCAACGTGAAAAAAATGCATGCCACTCTATTCTACAGGTCTCACTTCTTGCCTTTGTCTCTATTGTTGGACAGCTTGGCAAGTAGGTAAATGGTCATATAAATAGAGATGTTGGTGAGAACCAGTATAGGAGCACTTCATCTTTTCTATGATTTGGAAACTGTGCTTGTGTATTCGCTTCAGAGTTGGGATATTTGTGCACTGTCCAACAGTTATTTTGCATTTACACTTGTCCAATAAGACGTCCATAATCCACAATTGTACTGAATAATGGCACTTGCCAATTATTTTTAAACTATCCATCTTCGTGCGTGAATGTGATTTTGCATGTCATAATTATTCAGACTTTTGGCCACTTATGTGTCATCATTACATTGTTATTGTACATTACTTTGCCTGAAACAACTGCACATGACCTCATCAATCCCTCTCTGAGAAACTTCATTTAACTATTGTTACTGTCCAAAGAGAACCTCGCCTGGAAGCTGCTCAGAAGGCGTCTGCGATTTCCCGAGCACGTTTTTGATGACGTCCTCAAAGCTGCGCCTTCTCAGGTAACTAAATTTTGTTTTCTTTCTCGCAACTCTGATGAAATGAATTGTACCTCGTTTCAGACTCATAAGTTGACCTAAGAAAACTCAGTCATCAAGTTAGAAAGGTTCTTCAAAGCTTCTTGCATAGCTATTGCAGTCATGACGGGATGCCGTAAAATGCTCGTGCACTGCCTCACGATCACATGCACTAAATGTAAGCCGTGTGTTGTAAGGAGGAAGAGAACAAAAGTGCTTGAGGGCATGATTCACAATAAACAAGCGTAATTTCTTGCACCCTTGTCAACCTCACTTCTCTCCTACATTGCTTTCGGCATGCTCGCTTGCACAGTTTTCTGAACTGATACTCGTTCAAGTTGTTCTAAGTGATATTTATTCAGAAGGAAATAAAGTATTCAAGCGAATATGTCATAAAATATTTTGTATATCAAAAATTAAAGGATGTCACAAGTGCTCAATACATTCGATAATTCATTATATGTGGCTTGCACTACATCACAACTTATGTTCTATATGTGTTAAAAGAATAAGAAACATTTCGAGCAAGCACATTTTCATATATATAGTTAAGAATGTGGGCATGTCGAGGCTGTAATCTACAGCCACGCAGAGTTGTCATGTAGTCTAATTCTTAAATAAAAGAAAGGAGGCAGCGAAGTGTAAAGAGATGGTGACCATGTCACAATTGCCTACAGTGGAAGGTGGCCACGAAGAAAAAAACAGCAAGATGGCCAGGCTCGAACAAGAAATTATATCTTTAAGAAAAAAACTTGCCGATGAAAAAAAACGAAATCAAGATTTGCAAGAGATCGTAGTCAAAGGGATGGGTAAGCATTTGTGCAGGGATTGTGTAGGAAATTGTAACACCTTGCAAACCTTTGAATTTAAAAGTTTCATTCTGAAGGCTCCTAAAGATGATAAACACACTTGAATTTGGGACCAGTGCAACCGAGATCCACAGTGCAATCTGCTAGCTAGCTGTTATAGGCTAGCATTAATACAGCAGACTTCCCCCTTCAGAAATAATACACCCTGTGCGAGTTCAGTTGTATTCTGTTGGTTTATGCCTTCTCTTATCGGTAATTTCACTCCTCATTCATCATGACATCATGTCTTGCTTCCACTTTCTCTACTTATCTCTTACGACATCACTTATGCCTGCTGCATTAATGCTTCTATTGCCTGCCGGCCTAGGTTGACCACCCCTCCATTTGTATTTCCTCTCTCTTCCCTGTTTTAACGAGTGGTGCATGTGGTTAGTACAATGTACGAGTGGCGGTTGCTTATCCTTCCTAACAATGCTCCCACAAGAACACTACTTTTTATTTGCATGACAGGTTGCACTGATAGTCAACTTTCCTGGTAGCCTTCTTCTCATAATCACTGCATTCGTTCTCCCTGTCTCTGGATTTCGGTTGCATGTCATATATCTTGTGACTCTACCTGGCCTGTGTCACCTGGAGCACATGTGTGAGAATCAATGTTCAGTACTCCTAGACAGACTTTTCACCAGAGCAGGCGTGGGTTAGCTGCAAAAGCTGATGCGGTAGATTTTGGTTGTCTATTACAATTTAGAATTTAAAGGGTTGTAACACCCCTTTAATTAATTTTACAAACTTCCATATTTACCTAAGTAATTTGGACATGGTGTTAAACTCTATATTATGTGTAGGAAATTTAGTGATAATATAAAAGGTTGTAAAAAACTTCTTTTTTGAATACCGTAGGGGACAGGGTAAGCAAAAATATTTTGAGAAAATAACGCTCGAACTGCTCGAATAACTGCAGAATGCTCGAAGATAACGCTCGAAGGCTCGAAAATAACACAGAACGCTCGAAGCCCACTCTGGGATGTAATCGCAAGGTGGATATCGCAAGTGCTGATGGTGCCCCTCTCTCAACATCATCAGAGGTTGTAGTTGCTTTGGCCCTTGCATGCCACCACTGCCGCACGACTGAAGGCAGCAGCCTATAAATTGTGCATTGCTTGGTTTACAGTGACCACGCAGTCGTCAAACGCACCATTGTGAAAAATAAGCAGGCTACCCTTTTTCAGTATCTTAAGCCAACCCAATAAATAACTTGCTTCAATCTCCAAGTGAGGAATCACTGCAACGCGATTGGTTCGTTGGCTGATTTTCACATTCTAGACACACTTTTACAATTCTTACATAGAATTCTGAATATATCAAATTATTTCGCAATCACCGCACTGTTCGATATATTGTGGTTTGACCTCTCCCTATTTAGGCACATTCAGTGAGAATTTATTTCATGATTTAGTGCAGTATTTTACGTTAGTCATGCCTTTATCTCATTATTTACTCAGTATTAGTGTAAACCCTTGTGAGGTGTCTCCTTACAATACAACAGGATTGCAGCAGCTCGTACTGCTCAAGCTCTTTTGTGGTTAATCTTTACGTTTACCCAAAGCAATGCACATAATATTTAAATCACTAGTTAAACTTCTCTTACTTCAGCTTCGATTTATTCAGTTTTGCACTGGAATGATTAGAAGATAGGTAAATGTTTCGGACTGCAAAGGGTTGGAGCCCTACATTTCATATGGCATCCAATATAGAGCCTCAGTCAATCCGTCGGACGAACTCTTATTAGAGTCTTATGGAGGAGTTCCTAGGAGCTCACCGATGGTCTCGCCTGCAATGGGAGCAAAAGCCAGAGGCTCACAACCACTTCACAGGCTCCCTGGATGGCCCTGAGCTTGCAGACTGAGGCAGTGCTAGACGGGCACTGACAAAAGTTCGCATCGGAGACTTGATGTCTTATTTTGTCGCGTAAGTAAGGGCACTGCCCCATAAAGCACTGAAATGTAGCCATTAAGACGAAGTCCGGGCAGTTGAGGGAAATATCCTGTTCCAAATATTAAGGAGGTAAATATTCAAGTTACTTTGACACTCATTCAGGTGTGTAATGATGAGAAAAAGCTGCATGTTCAAAGACTTGTGTCCAGTGGATGTACTGCTGGGTAGATTCCCTTGGCTACAGCGCCAACTATGGTCTACACTCACTTGCTGGAGAGCCAGTATCTACCACATGACTGAGATCGATGTTATGCAGGTAATATTGCAGAAAAATTTTCTTCTTGCACTGTTTCTCGTTTCACCTCGTGCCTTTACAGCACATGTCATGGTTGCTCCTAAACCGTATTGATGTGGCAAATCTAGGTGTACAATCAATCTAAAAGTGCATTGTTTAGTACTAAATAAAATCTAAATAACCATGTAATTAAAGTGATGGCATGCACAGACTAACATCACATGCCACCGAACTCTCCTGATTTGCTCGGGAGACACCCGATATCTTACTTGTCTTCCCAACTGTACGGTTGCGCACCAACTGATTACAATCCGATTGCACCAACCTGTGCAGTCTCGGGATTCCTCCTTCGTCGAGGCGTTTGCCATGTTTGAGTCACTTCGGGGTGCTGTGACGTCCACCATGAAAATGACACCTAAGCGGAAGACTCTCGAGGAACAATTCGATGATGGGCAACTTCTGGACCGTGATGATCCTGATCTCCATTATGAGTACATTATGAAAGATTTTTAGATGGAGGCTGACCGTGACAGCGAAGACAGCAACAGTCCAGACGAAGAACAACAGCAAGAATTACCTCATGTGGGAACAAGATAATCTGCCTAATCAAGACATCAATAAAGCCCAAGCTACGCTGCGTGTCAGGGCTTATGTCGTGTATGCAGGGCTCACACGGGCACAAGTGAATATGCTTTTGAAGATTGTTAACCCCCTCTCTGGTGTTGAGGTGCCACTGGTAAATTATCTGTACAGGTAGATATAAAAGAAGATAGGTTCACTGGGTGTGTGCTTTTATTGTCAGTGGTACTATTGCTACCGTGATTTTGGAAAAACAAATGACTGGTCCTGGAAGCTCACCAGTACTATGAACAATGTGGTACACGTAGTCTACTAGCTTTTTTTTACCAGGACAGTTTCTTACAAGTATTTGACCTCAAATAGCGGATTCTCAGCTTGACAACAGAAACCAAAATTCATAAGCACGGCAGACTGAAGTGGGCAGCACCACTTGTGTATGATGCCCTTATAACACCAATACATCTCAATCGCAGCACTTGTGAAAGCATGCAAGTGCATTGGTGTGATACAACACAGCACCAGCACTGACAGTGTATCTGTGTTCAAACATAGCAAATATAGTATGCAGCTTGTCCAACATGTGATCAATGAATTGCCATTTGACATACTCTCATGCAACATGTTGTTGAAGGGTTGTGGTTAGCATAGTGCCACCATCCAACACATCTCTATGGAGGCATTCGTGAATGTAGTATTTAACATCATAACAATCATACCTTGAGAACATGCAAGAGACATGCTCACTACTAAGACATTTGTGTTATGCGGTTTGTTCGACTGTACAGCACAGGCTTCATTATCAAATATAAACAATTTCACCGTTTTTATCACTGCTCGTGCTACTAGAAGAAAAAACTGCAAAACATGCCTCTGACCAATGGTGAGCTTGGTTTGGTGAAGTCCCTCATGTGTGGGAGTGTCACCACTGTGACCACCAACTTTCATCTATTCAGCGGAGATCGGTGACACAAAGCCCGTCACTGTGGAACTTCCTGGGGTTGACAATACTCCTTAAGCTGTCTAAGAAACTCATACTTAAGAACACTGACATCTATCTGCTCAAGTGGGTGGGGTGCCATCATCGATATCCCCGATTTTCGAAACGTCAGCCTGACATCGCTGGCTTTGTCCTTGGTGCTGGGCATCGCGGCGAAGCGTGGGAATGTCCTGGACACTGAGGAGCTCTTTGCACTACGGCATGCTGTTGCAAAGATTTACTGTGTGATTTACAAGAAGGAAGTCGGCACATCATACAAATGTTCCACCAGCAATGCTTTCAATGTCAAAAGATTCGGCCATGAATCTTGCAGCTGCCATGGTCGACCAACCTGTGCAAAATGTAAGGGCTTAAAACAACACCTCTAACACTTGCGATGCTGCACTTCCCTGTGCGAACAATGATTCTACAGTTAGTACCAACGATGATGCAGTGTGCAAGAGGACAGCACCGCACCAGCCTCTGCCATAACAATGACCGGCTAGCAGCGAGCCGTCAAATGTGGCACCTGTCTCATTGGTAATAGCAGCCCAGTCTGCTCCGGCAGAGAGTACATTGTCAGGTGCCATCATAGATATCCCAGATTTTCGAACTGTCCATCTGACTTCACTGGCTTTGTCCTTGGTGTTAGACACTAAGGCGATGAGGCGTAGGAATGTCTTGAACAGAAAGGAACTCTCTGCCCTATGGCACGCTGTTGTCAAGATTGGCTAGGCAAGTTACAAAAAGTACGGTTCCACCAGAGTATCCAAGATAGTCTCCCTCCTTTTCGACCTCATGCGACCCCGCCATCCCCCGTCAGCTTGAATGTAAGTTGTGTATTCTCTGTTCCATTTCTGTGGGCCCAGACATTACTGATGCTCACATGAAGAAAATTTGCGCTAGTATTGTAGCTTATTGCATGTAATCGGATGTTCACTGTAACGGCATTTCAAAAATTTAATATACTATTCAAAATATCAAAACTTGCTTGGTTATTTTGCGTGCGACAAGCGTGCCGTTACATTGCGAACTTCTACACCAGATCGAATCTGCTATCACCGTTACGTCTTTGAGTGGCATGCGACAGCTGACCATGCGTCATATAATCTTTCTTCTCTTCCTCCTCCCACATTCCTATATATTTTTGAGATGGAATAAAACTACGGACTATGCCTGGAGATGCTGTCTGATTCACTTCCAGTTGCACGGGCACTTCGCCCCACTCAGCTACAGTGGCGACGAAGGTGGGACTGAAACCAAAGAAGGATCTGGCCGGATCGGACAGCAACTCGGAACCCACGTCAGTCATGGCCCACATGCTACCAGATTTCGATGATACAAGAGATAAGTGGCAACCGTATCTTGTAAAAATCGAAGGGTACTTTGAAGCTAACAGTATCACTGAATGTAGGAAGAAAAGAGCCCTGCTTGTTGCCACGCTCAGAACTTCAACAGTTGAAGTCTCATGTGCGAAAGTGGCGCCCATAGCACCAAGTTCTTTGACCTACAACGATGTTGTGTCTACCTTAAACAGCTATTATAACCGATAGCCGAATGAAATTACAGAGTGGTTCAAGTTCTATCATCGCTGTTAGCAAGAGGGAGAGCCTATGCACGTATTCATTGCGGCCATACGACAAATGGCGAATAACTGTCAATTGGCATCAATGTTGGACACATGATAAGGGACTGGATAATGTGTGGCGTAAGGTCCAAGAGCTTGCAAAAACAACTTCTGGCGAAGAAAGACTTGTCTTTGGCTGACGCTGAAGCCCTTGCTCTTGCCCTAAAAATCGCAGAGTTAGATTATCAAGGCATTTCAGCTAATAAAGATCAGGCAAATGTGCGACAACTATCGCAGCGAAGTGAACTAGGCTCAAAGAAAAAGAAACCCTCACCGACACAAGCACTGTGCAAATATTGTGACCGTTATTGGCGCAAAGCATCTGTGTGCAGCCTAAAGAAACTGTGGTGTTTCAAGTGTAGGCAGCAGGGTCACTAAGCCAAAATGTGCTCTCCCGAAACCAATACTGATAGAGCACTAGCAGTAACTGCTGCATGCGTAGGATGATACTAAAGATAGCAACAGCAGTGCATCACAGATTTGGTCCTTGACTAACACTCCAGCCTTGGTTCCGCCTATCAGGAAACATTTCAATTGGGGTGGCATAAGTTTAACCAAGGCCATCGACATAGGATCGCCAGTCTGTGTAATTCCCAAGGCAGTTTATAAAACGTACCTTCAACATTGGCCCCAGCTACAGGAAGCCCAGATAAAATTGTCATGTTATCTCGGCAAACTGCCAGCGCTTGGAGTGCTAAGATGAATGTTTCTTTCCGATCTTCTACACAATATTGTAGCCTAACTGTTCTGAATGGTGACGTCCCCAGCCTTTGCGAGCAGGATCTTTTGCAGAAATTGCTGGAAAAAGGCATCCCTGTGTTACAGGTGAAAGAAGAGAGCACATTGATGTCGCCGTCCACGGCACTACTAGAGTGCTACGCTAAGCTGTTCATCGAAAGAACCGGACTGCTGAAAGGCTCACCTGGCCGACTATACGCGCAACACCGAGCCAACCCGCAGTTCTACAAGGCAAGGATGCTGTATGTATTGGGTGTGACAGAAACCATTTTTTTGTTTATTCTCAAAACCACAGCATCACTTTTAAAGTTGAAAAAGATGATGATGGCATCTTGGCAGAGGTCATACCAAAACTGCAGACATTTTACTTCGCAAACCTGTTGCCTCGACTCGCGAAGATGTTGTAAAATTACTTGCAAGCCCTGGTGCAATAAATTAAATGTTAAAGGGAAACTAAACAGGATCAATAGATCGGTTTGGATGGACAAATTTGACAAATCTAATATCGTAAATTTGCCTATGATAGGCTTAGTAACAAGGGAGAACAAGTTCAGGACTTTCATTTTGTAAATAATCGTGCCAAAACACCCCCGCATGACGTCCTATTTTATAACGCGCATATTCATAATGGAGCATCGTTGGCTCCGCAGCATTCATTCAAACTTGGTACGTTAACTTTATGGCTCCCTGATAGGAGAGTTCACTTAGTTTTTACCACTTAGGAAACTACATAGGCCTCAATAGGCACTGTCAAAATATGTGACGTCGCAGCAATTGACGTGAAAACTTGAAGGTAGCGAGACCGCCCGCATTTCTTTTAGCGAGTTTCCCGCTTACCGAGCGCCTTGTTGCTAGAAGTATGGCATTTCTGGTACCGGAAAAAAGCAATTTACTAATACAAGTATAATCTCTTTACTCTTTATTGTTCTTCTAATGCCATCATAATCCTTATTCATGACCAACTGTATATGCAAGGTGTCTTCTAATGATAAGTTTTATGTCTTGTGGGAGCCAGTTTTATGTTATGTGTGATAATATTTTGTATATGTTTCCCATCATGTCTTATCCTTACAGCTGCCTTAGCTGACCTTCAGTTATGTGTCCTTGCCTTGGTATCACATGACCTGCCCAGGTCCACTTCCTTTTTTTTAATGTCAGCTGCAGCATGTGCTATCCCTCTGTTGTTTCCTTTGTTGTTGTTGTCATACAAGCTTTTTACAAATACGTTACCAATGCTCGTACACATCGACTGTACATTTCCTGTTCGTTGGCCATTGTTCAGTAGTCTGATATGTTTTTTTTTTTGGAATGTATACACAAGTGTTCCTGGCCGTTCGAAATTTGTGGTCTATTATTTTTCGCAAATTACTGAGTTGGTTGGTGGAGATTCTTCTGCAATCTCCAGATTGTAGGTTGTGAAAGTATTATTCATTGCAGGGGTCTTCTTGTTTACCTTGGCCTAGTCACTAGTAAACTTACAAGCTTACAGCAAATGCCAATGAGAGACCGAAACATCATTGTGTGACACATATTTTTATTATGATCCTCTTTGGTTTCTTGAGAAGCAGATTACCTGCTGTGTGTTTTGTAGTATTGACTTGGGTGTTTGTACATATTGCGAGTATGGCTATTTGATATCTTGTGTAAAGTTTACAGGTACACATGCAGCATCAAAAGCTTTTCTGTTGTCCATGCAAGCTACATTCTGGTTATGGTTGTAGACAGCACGTTTATCACATCACTAAGTTGATCACATAATACCAGTACACTTCACAATATGTGTTCCTGAAGACAGCTTGCAGAATAAACAAATTGCAGCTACGCATCATTATCCGCTAGAACTTTCGCATCACCACAGAAATTGTTGGTGGAGTTGCTGCAATTTATGCAAAAGTCACAGCGACTGAGACTGATTAGACATGCGTGGTACTTACTTTTTGTTGCCACCACAAGGCTGTTACTTCTAGTCCTTTTGAGTAAGGTCATCGAAGAGTAACTTTTCGCACCCACAAAAGAACCATGCTTTACGAAATGATATTTAAAAAAAGTGATTATATTATATACGAGTCTCAGCCATGGGCGTCACCAAGACAGATGCAAGAGGGGCACTTATTCCTCCCTGTCCATCAAAAAGAAAATCCTCCTGCCACGCGTGGTTTCAGCATTCCTGAATTGAAAGTGATAAAGCTGTACTCATTGACGTGCATCACCAGGAGGCCTTTTCGTTTAGTCATTCAGGTGAACACGACATTTTGAAATAATAATCGCAGTTTTGCGGCATTTTTTACTGTGCCTAGCTCTGGTTGCCTACTTTTTGAGTATTTTCTAGAGCTGCGCACATAGGAATGTTTTGGCTACAATGAAAATTCTAATACAGACATGCGCGGTCGAAACAAATAGAACATTTTAAAAATATGTCCAGAATTTTCGATATATCGCTACTTATACAAGTTGTTCTTTCTGGTCATAAGAATGTAATACAAGTTTTTGTTATTTTTTTCTGCCTAGTTATTGTACCTTACCACGGTGCTTCAATCTATGTATCTAGCTTTGTATATACTTGTTTTTAAATATACTTTTTATTGCTTCCCATGCTCACACTTTTTCCTTCTTATACTGCCTGTTATAAGAAAATTGTGACTGCGAATGCTCCACGAGTTTTTCACACGCGCCAGCAAGAAGCCAGTTCGTGATCGGCTGGGATAGGTTTTCCCTAGTATTGTGTTTCTACCACAGCCATCCACCAGCAAACCACAGTTGCACCAATAAGCTTTCAAGGGTCTCGCTGCAGTTTTCGACTTCAGGACCCTTGTCTCTATATTTTTCTGTAATAACTTTTTAATGTGTAAGAATAATAAATTTCTTGACTTCCCTTGAAGATGACTTGCGGTACGTGACAGCACATATATTGAGCACTCGATACAATGACATATAAAGAAATTGGGAGATTGGAGCTGGAGAAGGACGCATGGCAGGAAAAAAATGGCGTCCAGGGCGCAAAAGTAGTGGCCTGCCAAGTAGCAAGCTCTCACCCAAATGCACATTCCTTGTCAACATTGTCCTCATAGCCTGGAATCGAGGCTAGGACATGCGAACAAGATGAAATCAGTGTCTCCAGGACGAAGAATGAGCCGTGTGTGATCTTTGGCTGGCGAATGCCAATAGGGCGTCTGTCCATTATTGACCTGCGCTGTCCAGTGTCGTCTACTGATATCACCGTTGCAGTGCTATAGTGTGTCCCGCACTGTTGTCATTCACCTGTGAGCTTGCACTCTTGACAACTGTGCCTTTACGCACGGGACCTAAAAAGACTGCTATAACATCGCTGCTCAAGTTGTGCTTCATAACTTTGTGTAGGCTTTTTCCTCTTTGGTATACGTGTCTTGTACTATCTTTCTAGTGCTATTTTTTGTGCTCTGCATATATTATATTTGTTCTCTTTGTGAAAAAAATGGCACAATTTTTTCTTCTGAATGTTTTTCCAATAGCTCAAAGTGAAATTGTAGCGAAAAAAAAAGTGGGAGAAAATTTCTGAGCATAGTCTTGTAAGATATCAACATGATAATGTTTCATTTCGCTACAGTCGTGATGTGCCAGCGAAGTGGTGTTTGATGCAGTTTACGCTCATATAACAGACCCGGGTACAACAAACTTTCTGATACAATGAAACATTATTCAGTCTAAATTTAGTCTGTGTATTAAATTATTAAAGCAAAGTTCGCTTTTAACGGACTATCGGCTACAGTGGACGAAATTAGTGGCATTTTTTCCTCCAAATTGCACGCATATAGCGGAACTTTGCCGCATTGACATGGGCTGATAACAGATTTTACCATGTCACTTTCTGCGCGCTGAAGCCACGGTAATTTTAAATTGCAGCTGGCAACAATGGTGGCTTTTGGCCAAGCCAAGCATCCAGCTGAGCCAGTCTGAGAACACATTGGCAG